GTTTTCTTTACATTGAGGTGCAATCCATACTAAGCACTGTAGTATTTGATATCCATTTATAACCACGTTAAGTCTTCTTCATTTTCTGCAAGGAAGGTTGTATCGTCTGCATAGTTCAAGTCATTAATGAGTTGTTCTCCAATCCTGATGATACATTCTTCTCTTTTGGTTTTCTGACACCAGGTATTTGCAAATTTCTTTACAGTACTTGAAATTATCTTCTTGAGTTGCTCTTTGAAATTTTCTGTTCAGATCTTTTACTTTATTTATTCTATTTGCTTAATATCTCTACTCTCTTACTCTCTACAACGTCTTCTGATGTTCAGTTTAGAGTTTTTTTTGTTTTGCTTTTTTTTTTCCTTTTTTTTTTTTGGTTGTTGTTGTTGTTCTTATTGTTGTTTGTTTTGTTTTTAATCATGTTTTGCTTTCTTCATGTATGTTATTCTTGATGTTATCCCACAGCTCTTCTGGTCTTTGATCATCAGTGTCTAATGCATCAAATCTGCTCTTGAAATGGTCTCTAAATTCTGGTGGGATAAGTTCAAGATCATATTTTGATTCTCATGAATTAATTTTAACTATCTTTGCTTCTGCCTGAACTTGTATATGAACAACTGATGGTTGTTCCATAGTCTGCCCTTGGCATTATTTTGACAGATGATACTAAGTATTTTTTAGCATCTCTTCCCACAGATGTAGTCAATTTGATTCCTGCATATTCCATCTAGTGAGGTCCATGTGTATAGTTGCCTTTTTTGTTGTTTTGAAAATATATTTGCTGTGAATAAGCTATTGGTCTTGCAAAATTCTATCATGTGATCTTCAGCATCATTTCTATCACCAAGGTCATGTTTTCCAACTACTGATCCTCTTTGTCTTCCACCTTCTCATTCTAATCACCAATACATCTTGATTGCACGATTGAGTAATTGCAGAATGAAGATCTTAGTAGAATTCTGAAATTTCATCATCACTGATTTTATTAGTTGGTGAGCAAATTGGAATAATAGTGATATTAAATGAACTTCCTTGTAGGTATATGAATAGTATCCTATCATTCCTTTTTTTTTTTTTAAGTTTTTACATTCATCCTATTTATTTTGTTTCATTTCAATGATTACAATACCCTCCATGCATCATCAAACAACCAAAGGATACACCCCACAGGCCTGCACCCTGGCCGTCAGCCCACAGCCCCTTTCTCTCCCTGAGTCCAGTGTCCCTGTCAGGGTTTTCCCTCGACATAGTTGTCACGAGTGTTTGGTTCACTAGGAGGGGAGATCCAGCAGCGATAGGGATAGTGAAAGAATACACAGACAAACAGAAGAAGGGAGACAATGAGGCACCCCAGAGCCAGGGTGGATACATCACTGGTGGGCAGGCTTGGGACTACAGGCATCATGGCCTCTGCAGGCAGCGACTCACTGCCCTGCAATCTTTACTGCATGCCTTCCAACCCGTAATGCACTGCTATCTTTACTCCATGCCTTCCAACCAGTAATGCACACCTGGGGAGGCTCGGGCCTCTGCTTTATTCAGGGGAGGAGCTTCACACCAAGCGGGGAGGGATCTTTACAGAAGAAGAATGGTATTATTCAGACAAGACAATCTTTAAGATAAGTTAAGCCAGTAAACCTTACTTAAACCAATATTCCTTTCTTCCTTACTGGGTTTAACCTTCACTTGGATCAAACTGATTGAACCCAGGATGGTCCGAGGGCGTTGTCCCCATTGTCCTTAATCCCGTATTCCCAGAATTTACCACTCCACCCCAAGTGAATATACCCCGGGCAGTTCCTCTCCAGAGCCTCCCTGCTTAATCCCAGTAAACCTGTCCTTGTTCGTCCTCTGAGGAAGTTTTACTGCCTTGGTTCTAGTGGGAAAATCTTGACCTTAGAAACTTAGGGGAATATTGCATTTATCTGTGGACATCCAGGGCTCATGTTTGGAATTAAATAAATATGACTAAACAATTTGATGAAAAACAATCTGCTATTAACTGCCGAGTGGCTTCATTTGTTACACTCGGGCCTATAGGGCCTTGAACCTCTGACCAGTCTTACACGGTCCGCAACATGTCCCCAGCCACACCATCTGTCCATGTCATTATCTCTGCCTCCATTTCTGGCACCACTGTTTCTCTGGGTAGGGTCCAACACTGCTGTTCTCACTTGATGGTCTCAGGAACCATCACTCCTGGACTACAAAATCAATCACTCCCCTCCTTTTGTTACAAAATATCTACCTTTACATTTCCGACCCTCACAGTCAGTCCTGATAGCAATTATTCACTATTGTATCACAAGAGCCTTATCCCCATCTCCTTTCATTAGCCTTGTCCCAACAGATTGGAAAGCATTCAGTGGGGATACTACCTTCCCCTGCCCTGTCTGAAACTAGGCTCCCTCTTGAAAACTTATAAGCCAATCACTTTTTGCCTTTGTAGCACTCCCTACCCCCCATTTTGGGTAGTCAATGTCTAAGTTGCTCATTCCTGTCAACCCTGTGTACCGAAGGGGAGGGAGTGATCCTCACTGTAAAGATTTGTTCCCTTTTTTGAACTACTACATCCATAAGTATAGGTAAAGTTCATCAAATTGTAGTGTGTTACTCCTTTTACCCCTCTCCTTTCTTCTTCTAGTTGAATTCTGATAATCCAGCCATTGAAGCCAGATCAAGTGGGTACTGTCTGAAATTATGGGTGTTATTGTGCATCTCCCCCCAATTCATATCAGCTCCCCCCAATTCATATCAGCTCTAGTCCTCTGTAGCCATGTCACTGCCTCTGGACCCAGGAGTCTCCAGGTCTTGCCATATTGTCGGCCAACCAGGTTTCCACGCAGGTTCACAGGAGTCTATTGAATGTGGTCAGACGTAGCTCCCAACTTCATTGCTGTTTTTCCCCCTCTTCCCCTTATTGGTAACCAACATGGTCACCAGCCACACCACATGCCTGCTTGTGTATTCCTCTTGAGTCTTAGTCTTGGAAGGGAGTTTTCTCTGAGGGGACACGACCACTTGCCTTGATGGCTCCCGGGCAAACAGCTTTCTTGTTCTTGTAGTAGTCAATCAGACCGCCATTATTGTTTTTTTATTTTTTTCGGCTGGTCTTTCTTTCACAAAATATCTTCTGTTCTTCTAGCCACTCCAGGCTGCTCTACTTGTCCTTTCAAGTGGAAATTTCCCACCTCAGACAATTTTGGGTGGGGTTCTGTTGAGTCAGTACTGATTCATAGTGACCCTGTATAGGGTTTTTGAGGAGCAGCTGGTGAACTTGAACCTCTGATCTTGAAGTTCAAACCAACCTTGCAGTCAGCAGATTAACCCGCAGTTACACACCAAGACTCCTATACTATCATAGACAGCAGTGTACTTCATAATGGATCTTGAAATTTTCTTTTTGAGTATGATTGCAGTGCCATTCCTCTTGAACTTGTCATTCCGGGGACAGTGAACCCTGTGATTGTCAGATTCAAAATGCTCAAAGCCTGTCCATTTCAGCTCACTAATGCCTATGATATTGATTTTCATGTATTCCATTTCATTTTTAACAGCTTCCAGTTTTCCTAGATTTATACTTTATACAATCGATGTTCTGGTTATTAATGGATTAATATCCTTTTCTCCTTGTTGAAGGGTTTGAAAGTTTTATTTTATTTGCATCATCATGCTCAACTGTACTTTTAGCATGTGGCTCTACCCTAGTAGCATTTTGAGTTCTTTCCAACCCGACGGGCTCATTTTCTGGACTATATCTGACAATATCCTGTGACTATTCATAAGGTTTTCAGTGGCTAAACATTCAGTACTTCTGTGCTTCTCCTTCTTCCTAGTCTGTTTTAGTCTGGAATCTCATATGAAACCTTTCCACTATCAGTGACCCTGATGGAATTTAAAACACAGACGGCATAGCTCTGTGCATTACAGCAATATGCAAGCCACCACATTATGAAAAAAAAACTGACAGATGAATGGTGGTGATTATTTCCTATATGGTTTTAAGTAGTGGTTTTGCCACAGATGAAATATCTATGGCACTAAATATCCTTAAGGATCTATGGAGGCCTTAAGGCCAGTAGCTGAAACCTACCAAGTGCTCCAAGGAAAACGATGAGGCTTTCTGGTCCCATAAAGATTTACAACCTTGGAAAAACTACTATAGAGGGTCTCTATGAGATGGAGTCAACTCAATGGCACAAAAGAACACCTTGTTGTTCAGTAGGTTCAATGCACAAGTATTTCAAAGTCCAAAGAACGCATCTACTCCTGACTTTTCTTCTTTGATGACAGTGAGATGTCTCATCCCTGTTTCTGAGGTGGTTCATTTATACACCTTAGAATTCCAAGTTTTTACAATCACAATTAACTCTGTTAACCACTTGCAACTGAATCATATAATTCTATCAGCATCTTTTCATACCTGTTCTTACCCAGACCCAGCAGAGGGAAAATGTTGCTTCGTAGTTACAGAGATTACGTGATGAAGTCATATGAAATAATTCACTGTGCTGCATCTCTCTCTCTCTCTCTTATCTATCTAATTGTTGTTATTAAGGGCTATCCGGTAAGCTCTGACTCATGGAAACACTGTATAGAATTTCTGTGGTGAGTTATAAACAATGACCTTGCATTTAGTAGTTCAGTACTGAGCGTGTATGTATATATGTTAGTGGGTAGGAATGGGAGAGAATAATAGACCCTGTATAGAGTTTCTGTGGTGAGTTAGAACCAATTACTTTGAAGATAGTGGTCCAGTGCTGGGTCCAGTGTATGTGTATATTTTAGAGGGTCTGTATGGGAGGGAATATTGGACAACCTTAATCATCCCAGAGGCAGCTTAAATTCCAACCCTATTAAAAACTTTGGAAACCATAATTGAAGTGAATTACCATATTCAATAAGAGAGAGTACTAATGATTACAATTCTTAAAATGGAATTTTTTGAAACTTTTCTCATGGGAGTTGGCACAATGCAATTTGTTTATATGAATGTCTTTCAGGTGGCAGTTACTCCTCCTGGGATAAGGATAAAATGCAGTCTCCTCTTGATTCTCCTGCACCCCAACATGGAATTATTCATGCAACTCTGGCTGGTCAGTCAGGCATTGGGGGTGCTCCTACCCTCAATCCAGTGCAACAGAACCACCTGTTGACCAATAGTATGTATACCTTCTTCCAAAAACAGAGATGTTGAGAAAAATACCATTACAGTCCCTCTTAATACCTTGGACTTGCACACTATTAAAGAGGGATTAATAGACTTTGGGTATCTTGGTAAGCCATATATCAGAGTAGTTAAGAATAATGAATAAAGTAACACTGACTAGGATTACAATTCCACATCTCTCACAGTTTGACTTTTGGAAATCAACTTAACTTTTCCATGTTTGAGTTTCCATGAGTATGTAATTTGTTGTTGTTGTTGTTAAGTGCCGTCGAGTCGGTTCCGACCCATAGCGACCCTGTACAGGGTTTCCGAGGGTGTAAATCTTTATGGGAGTAGAAAGCCTCATCTGTCTCCAGCGGAGCGGCTGGTAGTTTCGAACCGCTGACCTTAAGGTTCGCAGCCAGAGTCGTAACCATTACGCTACCAGAGCTCCTTTAATAGGGGGATTAATATAGACACTTTTTAAGGTTATATGGTTGTTTTTGTTGTTGTTGTTGTTGTTGTTGTAATGTGCTGTGGAGTCGGTTCTGACTCATAGCGACCCTGTACAGGGTTTCCAAGGCTGTAATTCTTTACGGAAGCAGAAAGCCTCATCTTTCTCCCACAGAACAGCTGGTAGTTTTGAACTGCTGACCCTGAGGTTTGCAGCACGTTTCGTAACCACTACGCTACTAGAGCTCCTTATATGGTAAGGGCAAAAAATGATCAAGGAACATTTGTCAGCGGTGACAGACATATATAGTTAAGTACTGCATACCTTTTAACTATTACTACTCAGTAAGCAGACAACAACGAATATATACAACTTAAAGCTTACCTGATGACTTTATGTTCTTTTAGCAGTTCTGGTAGCATAGTGGTTACGAATCAGACTGCTAATATCATGGTCAGCAGTTTGAAACTACCAGCTGTTCCACAGAGGAAAAATGAGGCTTTCTGCTCCTGTAAAGATGGCAGCATTAATGGACTCAAGCGTGGCAACAATAATGACGTTGACTCAGGATCAGGCAGTGTTTTGTTCTGCTGTACATAGGGTCGCCATGAGTCGGTACTGACTTGATGGCACATAAGAACAACAGCAAAGATTTACAGCCTCAGAAATCCTGTAGAGGGTCGCTATGAGTTGGAATCAACTCCATGGCACATGACATCAACAACAATGGCTCAAGCTTCTGTAACAAAGCAGGACTTGTATCCCTTTCTCTGAGAATGTTCTGATTTTCATATAAACAGAAAACCCAGGAGAAAGTCTGATTATTCTTGTCCCTGAGACTTTTTGTCACCCACTAAATTCTGGACATAAGACATCAGATACATTCTGAGATATTTTAACATTATGTCCCAAATCTTAAGGAAATTTATCAGTTGTTCATCATGTAAAATATGATATGCTGCCTAACTTTCAAGAGGTTATAACCTCAAGTTTGTAATGTCCCATAAAAATTACATATTAAGTAAGGTAAATAAAATGAATGCCAGAAAATATACAAATATTAAGTTATGAGAAACCAAGAAATGATTATTTAAGGTACTGGTGTGGTACTGTAGGATAAGTGCTAGACTAAAAGATCAGTTTGAACCACAAGGCTGGTGGTACAAACCCACCAGCAGATCCTCAGAAACCCTATAAAATGTTGCTGAGTCAGAACGGATGCAACAGCACTTAACAACAACAGCATGCCTTAAAAAAAAAAAAAAAAAAAAAAAGAATTTCACAATAAGCAAATAAATGGGTTGTTGTTGTTGTTGTTAGGTGCCATCGAGACATTCCCAACTTTTAGCAACCTTATGCACAGCAGAACGAAACACTGCTCGATCCTGGGCCAACCTCACTACTGTTGCCACGCTTGAGTCCGTTGATACCGCCACTTGGCCAATCCATCTCATTGGGGGTCTTCCTCTTTTTCTCTCACCCTCCACCTTACCAAACATGATATCCTTCTCCAGCGACTGGTTCCTCTTGACAATATGTCCAAAGTATGAGAGGCGAAGTTTGGCCGTATTGTTCTCTAAGGAGCTCTCTGGCTGCACTTCGTCCAAAATAGAGCTATTGGTTCTTTTGGCAGCCCATGACACTTTGAATATTCTCCTCCAACACCATAACTCAAAGGAATCAATTCTTCTACAGTCTTCCTTATTCACTGTCCAGCTTTCGCATGCATATGAGTTTATTGAAAACACCATGGCTTGGGTCAGACGCACCTTAGTCCTCCAACTGACATCTTTGCTCTTCAACACTTTGAAAAGGTCTTGTGCAGCAGATTTGCATAATGCAATACATCGTTTGCTCTCTTGACTGCTGCTTCCGTGCATGTTGATAGTTCATCCAAGAAGAATGAAGTCCTTGACAACTTCAATCTTTTCTCCCTTGATAAGAATGTTGTTTATTGGTCCAGTGGTGAGGATTTTTGTTTTCTTTACATTGAGATGCAATCCATACTGAAGGCTGTGCTCTTTGATCTTCATCAGTAAATGTTTTAAGTCCTCTTCACTTTCAGCGAGCAAGGTTGTGTCATTTGCACATCGCAGGTTCTTAATGAGTCTTCCTCCAATCCTGATGCCATGTTTTTCTTCATATAACACAGCTTCTTGGATTATTTGTTCAGTATACAGGTTGAGTAAGTATGGCAAAAGAATACAACCTTGTCGCACATCTTTCTTAATTTTAAACCATTCAGTGTTCCCATATTCTGTTTGAACAACTGCCTCTTTGTCCAGGTACAGATTCCTTATGAGCACAATTAAGTGTTCCAGAATAATCATACTTCGCAATGGTGTCCATAGATTGTCATGATCCACACAATCAAAAGCCTTTGCATAGTCAACAAAGCGTAGCTAAACATCTTGCTGATATTCTCTGCTTTCAGCCAAGTTTCATCGGACATCAGCAATGCTATCCCTCGTTCCACGGCCTCTTCTGAATCTGGCTTGAACGTCTGGAAGTTCTCTGTCAATATATGATTGTAGCCATTTCTGTATGACCTTTAGCAAAACTTTATTTGCATGGGTTATCAAAGAGTTTGTCCGATGATTTCTGCATTCTGTTGGGTCACCTCTCTTTGGAATGGGAACAAATAAGGATCTCTTCCAATCAATCGGATAGATAGTTGTCTTCCAAATTTCTTCACAGAGATGAGTGAGTACCTCCTGTCCCGCCTCACTTTCTTGAAGTATTTCAATTTTTATTCCATCATTTCCTGGTGCCTTGTTCTTTGCCAATTCCTTCAATGCACCTTTGACTTCGTCTTTCAGTATCATTGGCTCTTGAGCATATGTTACCTCTTGAAATGATTGAACTTTAACCATTTCCTTTTGGTACAATGATTCTATGTATTTCTTCCATCCTCTCTTGATACTTTCTGCATCATTCAATAATTTGTCCAGAGAATCTTTCAATAATGAAAGTTGAGGCTTGAATTTTTTCTTTAATTCCTCCAGCTTGAGAAATGCTGAGCATGTTCTTTCTTTTTGGTTTCCGATACCAGATCTTTGCACATTTGTTGTAATATTAACTTTATCTTCTTGAGCAGATCTTTGAATTTTTCTGTTTCACTTTTGGACCTCCTCATTTCTTCCATTTGCTTCAGTATCTCTACGCTGGATAGCAAGTTTCAGTGTCTCTTCTGACATCCATTTTGAGCTTTTCCTTCTTGTCTTCTCAATAATTTTTTTTGCTTTCTTCCTGTCTGATGTTCTTGATGTCATCCCAGAACTCTTCTGGTCTTCAGTCTTTAGTGTTTAATGTATCAAATCTGTTCTTTAGATGATCTCTAAATTCAGGTGGGATATATTCAAGGTAATATTTTGGATCTCATTGATTTGTTTTCATTTTCTTCAGCTTCAGTTTTAATTTGCATATGAGTAATAGATGGTCTGTTCCACAGTCTGGCCCTGGCCTTGGTTTCACTGATGATATGGAGTTTTTCTATCATCTCTTTCCGTAGATGTAGTCAATTTGATTTCTATGTATTCCATCTGGTCAGATCCATGTTTATAGTCATCTGTTATGCTGTCCAATGAAGGTATTTGAAATGAACAAATCATTGGTTTTACAGAATTCTATCATGTGTTCTCCAGCATCATTTCTATAACCAAGGCCATATTTTCTAACTACTGATCCTGCCTTCCTCTTTGCTCTCAACCTTTGCATTCCAATTCCCAAAAACGACAGTACTTATTGATTGCATGTTTGATCAATTTCAGATTGAAGAAGTTGGTAGAATTCTTCTATTTTATCCTCACTGGCTTTAGTGGTTGTTGTGCAAATTTGAAAAATAGTGGTATTAACTGGACTTCCCTGTAGGCGCATGGATATTATCCTATCAGAGACAGCGTTGTATCTCATGACTGATCTGGATATGTTCTTTTTGACAATGAATGCAACACCACTCCTCTTCAATTTGTCATTCCCGGCATAGAAAACCATTTGGTTGTCAGATTCAAAATGGCCAATACCAGTCCATTTCAGCTCACTAATGCCTAAAATATTGATGCTTATAGGTTCCATTTCATTTTTGATAACGTCCAATTTTCCCAAATTCATACTTCATGCATTCCATATTCCGATTTTCAATGGATGTTTACAGCTGTTTCTCTTCATTTTGAGTTGTGCTCCATCAGCAAATGAAGGTCCCATGGGCTTTTCTCCCACGAGCTTTACTCCAATGGATTAGAGAGGCAAATATCAAAGGAAGACATAAATATAAGTAGAACCTGTGTTGTAGAGTGCTGTAAATAATGTAGTAGGGCTAGAGTAGTATGATGGGCTACAAAAATTAGATATTAAAACTAGAAAGGTAATTTCAGGTGAAATTTAAGAATTTTAATTTTATTCTGGAGAGAAAAAATAATCACTGAAAGTTTAATATTGGAATGGAAAGGCAAATAAAAGACAAAGAAACAAAGCAAAACGATTTGCATTGTTTCAACTAATTGAGGCACTGATAGCTATTTTTTGCCAGTAGTTTCACCACTTTGTGACTAAACCACTAT